CTTCTGGGGCGGAGCAACTTAGATTCCATGCCCAGTAAAATGGAAGAGGCTTAACAGGCCTCCTGGCCAAATAATAATGGTCTGTCCTAGAGCTCAACCTGCCTGGCCCTACCTGGCATCAAAGTTTCATGTGAAAAAGTGGCAGAGACCTCCTGGGGGAAACCCTATTTCCTCATCCACTGCTGAAACCAAACCACCCAGTTAGGCCCTCAGTGCCCTGAGGCCCTCTAATGTTGAGGTTGGGCTCTCTGACCTTCGGCTGCCTCCGAAGCTGATGGTATTACTGAGGAGTGGCAGCTCATCACAATGGACGCATACTTAGGAATTTTTTATTTTTAAAATTTTAAATGAATTTCTTATTAATATCAAATTTGCATAAACATGTAGATGTAATGAATAAAGATTTTCTATTTTATTTATTTATTTAGTTTTTTGTTTTTTTGAGACCGAGTCTTGCTCTGTCACCCAGGCTGGAGCGTAGTGGCACAGTCTTGGCTCACTGCAGCCTCCGCCTCCCAGGTTCAAGCGATTCTCCTGTTTCAGCCTCCCAAGTAGCTGGGATTACAGGTGCCCACCACCGGGCCCAGCTAATTTTTGTGTTTTTAGTAGAGATAGGCTTTCATCATGCTGGTCTTGAACTCCTGACCTCAAATGATCCACCCGCTTCGGCCTCCCAAAGTGCTGGGATTACAGGTGTGAGCCACTGTGCCCAGTCCGATTTTCTATTTATTTAAATATAGTATGAAGAATAATGACAATGAAGCCCTGTGTACTCATCAGTTAATCTAAGAACATAATAATATAGTGGACAGTAAATTTCATCAGTATAAAATGTCCTACTTTATCCCATTTAATGTTTTTTGTTTTGTATTCTTCTATATTTAAACCAGATTCCTGTTACATTTAAAAAAAATTAAACTATAATTTTTTAATCATTTTCACTTTTAGTATCACTTTAGTTTTGATAGGTCTTAGACAGTTAATTTTGGTTTTTGACCTAATTTGCATATATAGTTATAGTAGATATATTTGGTTTTTATCATTTCCTGTTTTTGTATTTTATATAATTTGTTATTTTTGTTAATATTTTGCTAAACCTGTTTTCTGTTTTTTACTATATTAACTATTACTTTTTTGTTCTATTTTCTAATATCTTAGTAATACTACTTTTGATACAAGTTACTGTTACTGTTACTAGTTTTGTTATTTTGATACTAGTAAGATTAGTGGTAAGAAGTTTTTAATAGCATTATTTAACTTTAATCTCTACTGTCAATAAAAAGTGAAATATTATCATTTTAAATGACCCCTATTTAAAATGAAATTTTTTCTTTAACTCTTTTTTTCTCATCTAAATGTCTACTTCTTTATGTATAAGATAATCAGAAATTATTATTAAATGACTTCTCTTTCAAAAATATTTTTTGGCATTGCATTTTAGTTTATAACTATATATATCATTATTTATATTTCTCTTTAGAAAAAAATTGTCATTGTTCACCAACATTTCCGTGCAGTCACCTCACAGTCTTTTGTGAAGGACGAGGTAGGATGGTGACGTGGGCTGCTGTACTCAGCAGAGCCCTGAGTTTGAGTCCCTCTCCTTCCTGAAGTTCCCCTGCACGCTCAGGGGGCTCTGTACGGCTTTTACTCCCCTGAGGGACAGGGAGACCCCCACTTTACCCCGTCATCTTTTTTCCTAAGCATCTGAGGTCCGAATAGGGGGAGGACAGATGAAGGAACATGGCAAAAGTGACTGGCCCACATCGCAAGGCGCCTTTCTTTTTGAGCGGCAAGTGGCTACTCAGGGCTCAACCATATTTGTAATGACATCAGTTTAGGCATAGGTCTATAGCCTCATTCCTGACACTGTTTATTCAGCTCTGGGACTCCTTGATTGAGCAACTGTGCCCACAGTATCTTTTAGCGGTGTTGCTGGGCTCGCTTTCAACGCCATCATGATGACATTCCTTCCTGCTTCCGCTCAGAGGAGAGGGACTAACAACCTAGCCAGCAGTGGGCTCAGCCTCACTACCTACCTCAGCCTGCAGACTGTCGCCAGCAGCTAGCACTGCTCGGGGTCCCTGCTCCTCCTGCTTGCCCACCACTTGGGTGCATGCACTAACTACTGTTAATAGATCCCAGGAGTCTTCTCATATCCCTTAAGCCAATCTGCATGGGCCCCTCTCTTTTCCAGAAAGCCGTCTGTTAGTCTTCTATCCTTGTCACCAAAAACCATCAAGAACTGTGAAGGGTCTGAGATTTTATTCTGCTTGCAAACTAACAAGTTAGTCTCCCAGTTTCATGGATGGTGGTTGTAAACATGAGATGTCTGGGTCAGAGACAAAGGACTTGGTTATGCGCAGCACATAACCAAGTGCACAGGCTTCCTTTTGGTGCCAGTTCCCCTTGACCCCAAGCCCCACAGTGGACCTGTATCACAGCTAGGGAACTCACCATATTTATATCGGGCTGCAAGCAACTCTGTCTAACCTTTGCTAGGAGGTGAACATTGTGCTACCAGACAGTAAACAAACCTGTCCTTTGCTTCAGAGATATACTGTCTCTAAATCCCAAGGCCGTCTGCTGTACAAACCTTAAGAAGGCAGTTCCAAATAAGGTCTGTCCCTGCCTCTGCTTTTGGGGTGCACAGAAATGTGAGAGACCCATAGAACATTGTCTCCCAGCACATAGGCACATATCTGAAGAAAACAAGTTTAATTGCTAAGAAATAGTTCTTACCAAAATATCAGAGGATGTCTGTAAATTTTATGGTGATTGATTTCCCAACATTGGTTATCATCCTAAAAATTATACTTATTGTTATAGTGTTATAATTATTTAACATGACAATTATAACTTCTTTTGGACAGTGGGTTTTAAACGGTTCCAAGGAGCTACCACTGTGTAGTTCCTATATCGTAACACTTCTGACGCCGTTCCACTGTTTAACTCATATATATTACAGGTATAATGCACACGTGACTTGTTTTGAGAGCCCCACTCTTTAGTTCATGTATTTCTTAGGGGCTGGTTGGAGGCAGGGAAAGACAGAATTGAGAGAGTGCAACACAAACACTAGAACAACTCTGCATAAACGTGCAAGATATAATTTTATCTCCTTTTGTCTGTTTATTGATAGGCTTTCCACAAAATGTTTAATGTGTAATAAAAAGGATTTTAGAGAGAAAAGGAGGGGAGGAGGAAGAAAGGAAGAGAGAAGTCATTGTTACAGGTGGTAGATTATGTTTTGGTATCTGTATTAGCCTGTTATCTGTCTCACACTGCTATGAAAAAATACCTGAGACTGGGTAATTTATAAAGAAAAGAGATTTAATGCCTTCTCAGTTCCACATGGCTGGGGAGGCCTCAGGAAACTTGCGATCATGGCAGAAGGCAGCTCTTCACAGGGTGGCAGGAGAGAAAATGAATGCCAGCAGGGGACATGCCAGACGCTTATAAAACCATCAGATCTCGTGAGAACTCACTCACTATCATGAGAACAGCATGGGGGACCTGCCCCCATGATTCAGTTACCTCCCACTGGGTCCTTCCCACGACACATGGGGATTATGGGGATTACAATTCAAGATGAGATTTGGGTGGGGACACAACCAAACCATATCAGCATCTTGAATAGTTTGAAAGTTGTGAAGTGGAAGTTCAAAGGACTCTTCAGCAAAGTAGTAGTGTGTTTTGTTGTAGTGTGTTTTGTGACTATTCACATTTCATCTCCTGTGATTAATAGCTGCTTTCTATGAGATCTCATGTGTTAAATACCAGCCTGATTCATTCTGGTTCACTGGCCTCCCGTGCTATGAACACTTAAGGTGAGCTGACTCTCAGATTTGAGGAAGTGTTTTAAACTTGCCAAGTGCAGCCCTGTGGCAAGTCTGCGATGTTGTTGAAGGACCAGCAAGAAAAAGCCACTTCACCTCAGAGGTCATCATTTAGGGCTAGGTATACTTCTCCATGCTTTTAGGACGTTTTCTTTCCTTTCTATTGAATTTGAAGAACTGGGTGCCTATTCCTGCAATTCAGAAATTAGAAAGTAATACTTAGGACAAAATTGAAATAAGTGTATGTTTTGTAATTTTATAACTCATTTTTATGTTAAATGTGGAATGAGATTACATGATTTATTGAGAAATATGGATGTATTTATAATTTTGTTGGTTGTGTTAGATAATCGTAGGTTAGTGCATTGCAGTGCAAAATATCAGCATGAACCTTTAACTTATAGCTGCAGATTCAATCATTTGGTGACTTTTTGGGGAGTAGAAGAAGTTTCTTTTTTTGTCTTACCCTGCAGTTTTTAAGTTTTAAAAGTCTGGCCTTTAGTTTGGTCCTGAGGTCAGAATTTGTTTTACATTTAAAACAAAATTGTGCATAATGATTATATTATTGTATTCTTGTCTCATGGATTAATGAGAATTCTATAGAATGTGAAGGAAAGCATCATATAGAATTGGTAAAAGCAGTATCTCTATAGTTTATAATGCTGGGTTACAGTGACAGTTCTTCAGCGGCACAGTAGAGGGCTCCGGAGGCTGTGAGGAGCGCCAGAGTCCATGCTAGAGAGAGCCCGCACTCTGCAGCTCGGAGCATTGTGGCACCCCAAGTTCAGTGCTCACTGGACTGTCTGGCTTTATGCCATAATTAGCCTTCTATTCCCTTGATTAGAATCACAGATAGAAATTCATTAATCTACTTTGTTAGTGGAAAGTGTTAGGAAAGTAATTAAATTGTTAAAAATGGCTCTGCAGATGTTTTTTATGAAGTTTTTTTTTTGTTTTATCCAAGCTTGATAATATTTTCCATAATTTTGAAAAGTCAGTCTAAACATTGTAAACTATAGGTACTTAGTGTATTTTTCCTGTTCATAAATATAAATTTCTTCTCCTTTCAAGGGATTATTTTATGCTTTCATATAGGCAGAAACCTTATTGTTCATGACGTGAAGTAAAATACTAAAATTATATTTCTACTATATTTTTCAGGGAATCCGGGCCCGCATTTTAGAGACTCTGGTCATGCTGCTGCTTCTTGCATTGCTCATTCTTGGGATAGTGTGGGTGGCTTCAGCACTCATTGACAATGATGCTGCAAGCATGGAATCTTTATATGGTATGGATTTCCTTGTTTTAGCCAGTTTCTTTACTGGAAACTATAGTTTGGGATATAGTTACACACTCAATTTTAAAAACATTTAAATAATTCTTTGTATAGTTAACAAAGATGTTTGATGTTAATTTACAGAATTAAGAAATCTTTAGGTATCTTTATCTAAAAATGAAGTTTTATTTCTTTTATATGTGAAGAATAAGTAAGCAGCTTTTCAGATTTTCTGTTGTTGTTGTTAATTGGTTTCTGTTCTTCAAATTCCGTGGAGACTTTTTTTCTCCCTCCAAACAGGTTTTACTAAAGGGTTACTTCTTGGTTTTCTATTTTAGATCTTTTTATTGTACAGTTTAGAAATTATATGGCTTAAACTCAAATAGGCAATTACAATGTTTACGTGAGGTGTAGTCAGCCTCTGTCTTATCGTAAGATAGATTGATTGTATCTTAATGTGCAATATTTTGGATTTGTTAAAATATATTTACTTTTTTTAATAGATCTCTGGGAGTTCTATCTACCCTATTTATATTCCTGTATATCATTGATGGGATGTTTGTTACTTCTCTGTAAGTATTTTTCAGACTTAATAGAAAAGTAGAGTTGTCCTTATTCTGGAAAATTCAGGGAAGTTTTCTGATGAGATTTCTTAACTATTTGGAGATTTTTTTGAGTTCGCCTTAACTATTTTTATTCAAATAAATTTTGATAAATGGAAACTTTGAAATAATAAGATGCTTTTATTGTTCTCTAAGGAAAGCCTCTTCTACCGGGTTGTAGAGTGAGACAGACGGACAGACACACACACACACTCACACACTTTCACTCACGCACTCACACACAGTCATACTTACTTACACTGACACACAAACCGTATGCACACTCATACACACATGCCATACCCTCATCCCCATACCTGTCATAATGCTAGATTCTACTTTTAAATAGAAATGGTAGAATTATGATGATAAGTTCATGGTTTTTTAAAAGTTTGTTTTGTTTTACTTAAAGCATCACAGCCTATCTCAGGGATGTTATAAGTAGATAAATGTAGTTTAAAGGACTTAAGACTATGGTTGTCACCTTTAGATATTCTTGTTTGTTTCTCAGTCCTATTAATACTTGAAATTTAACCTATTCTTTGCTCATTTTTCTTTATTTTAACCAAAAGTATTTTTAATTATTCAACTGCTAGAATCTTGAATATTATTCTAAGCCTTTTTTTGTTGTCACATATCTTTCAGAGCTAATTACACCTATCCTCCTCACATGCCCCCTCTAGCTTGTTTATTGATGATGGTGAAGAGTCCTCTGACAAAACACTAGAATCTCAGTTGGAGAGAAGAATGTTCTTAAAATGATAATCTTTGGATTTCCCTTATTTTTACGGTCTAGTTGTTTATCTCTCCAAGCTCTCTAATGTCGCTTTCTGTCTTTTGGTGATCTTATTTCTGCAGTGTGTACACCAGTTGGCCTTTCTCGTATGTTCACAGTGATGGGTCAGTTGCTAGTGAAGCCAACAGTAAGTATTTAATTATAAATCATTTTGTTTATTAAATAAATGTGTTCCATTTGAGCATCTTTTAGATTGTGAGCTAGCACTTAGAAATAGAAGAAGAATATTTTTTGTACATTTATCACTCAAATTGTTGTTTTATTAAGTTTTTTTTAAATAGAACTTTGGTTAAATTTCCAATCTTTGGAAACCAAATTTGGTTTTGCTTTTAAAATACTACCTATAGGCGCACAGGTAAAAATTCCTCTAGCAAATTTTAAGATAAAATTTACAAATATTTACAGGTATTTTAGGTGTCCATTGCCTAATATCAAAAAGTACCTTGATTTTGTTTCAAAATTTACATGTATGCGTCAATTTACAAAACAGTTATATTTCTGAAAATTTGCCCGCATATTATGTCTCGATTAATTGAACCATACTTTGCCTTTAATCTTAGAAACACTATATACTAGTTTTTAAATGATTTTCAGTTGATTGTAATTCTAATGATTTGTCGCTTTCTTTGGTCTCTATTTTGTCAGATATTTAATTATATAAAAATGATTTGTTAGCTACACCTAGGAAATTTGTCACTTATTTTCATGGATCCTCATTGCCTGTGAACTCAAGTGTAAACTACTTACATGTCACAAAGCCTTTCACAGCCTGGTCCACGCTAAGTTTTCCTCTAGCTGTCCCTCTGTTCACTGTCACTCTAGCTCATGAGCGAACTTGCTGTGCTCCGAATAGGCTCTGTGCATTCTGTCTCCAGGACTGTCTCTTTCCCTCCGAGGCCTCTTACCTGCTCCAGCCACCTAGCAGCCTCCTGCGGCCTAGCTCAAACATCAGCTCCGCTGTCTACGTAGCTTTGAACCTTGCCTTGCTTCTTCAAGGACAAATAATTAAACTCCTTTCTTTGCCTTTCTCATGTTCCCTTTTGTTTCTGTCTCACTAGTAATACTTACTAAATCGTTATAGTTATGTGTTTGTCTTCCTTGTCATGGTTCATTTAGGGAAAATACTGAGGAAGTGTTACAGGGGATATACTTTTAATAAATGCTTGCTTAATTTAAAAAATCATAATATTTTTATATTTTAAAGATAAAGTTTAATTTTTTATTTATAAAAAATGCATAAATACATTTTACAAAAAGTATATAAATGTTGTAAACATACTTGTGTGCCACACACGTGCTGTCAAGTCATGGAATTCCTTTCCGTTGTAAGGAGGTTCTGTGACACTGCATTCCTGCATTCATTTAGTTCCTTCCTACATTTGTTGTTGTTGCGTGTTTGTTTGTTTGGTCTTCTTTCTCCTTTTCTGCTTCCTGACCCCTAACTATAGGCAGATGTTTAAAGTTCTATCATTGGTCAAAAGTTCTATTAATGCTCTGCTCCTGAACCATCTTGCCATTTCCACATCACTTTTAAATGCCTCATTCTAATGAGGAAAAGACAATGGAAACAAATTATAGTACATTTTAAGTGCTATAATTGAATAACCCATGGAGCTGAAAACTCAACATATATAAAATGAAACTACTTACTTAGCTCCCTTCCCCAAGCTAATTTTTCTCCTTAACTTGTCTCTTATTAATGTTAAATATAGTGAACCCCAAGTTTCTCTTCAAAGAATCAGTATGTCAGTATGTTCAGCTCTCTTCTTCTTTGATTCTCCATTTTAAAGTTTAAATTCCTGGTTCTGTTTTCCCCCTTGCCTCTAGTTTCAGTAAACAACTTTCCCACCAGTCCTTATCAGTAGTTCACATCTGTTCCCTGGTCACCTGCTCCGTCTTGACTCACCCCTGGTCACCTTCTTTGACCTGAGTCACTCCTGGTCACCTACTTTGACCTAAGTCACCTTTAATTACCTGTTCCTAACCGTCCTTCCCACCAGACTAGTCACCCCGCCACTCTGGCTCATACCCCTGCTCTCTTTAAAATAGCCAGTCGGAATTAGCTTAGACTGTGTGTTCCAACCCTAGCCAACAGGGGAACGACACAGCAGTGGGGCCCCGTGTCAGGAATAAGAACTCCTTCCCCTCCCCTGTCCAGGTGTGCTCTCGCCATTACTCCATTTGCGAGTCTCACCCTTCTGTAGAAATAAAAATTGCCTTGCTGACAAAATTAATGTTTGGGTGCTATTTCTTTGTGGCACCGGGGAACAAGCATTTTGCATTTCTAACATTAACAGTGTCCTCAGAGTCTTATCTTTGTTTCGTTTCTCGTTGGTAACATTCAATAATAAAGATTATTTATTGAGTAATTGAGTGTATTGTATATGCTAGCAATAAACACTGTATTTTGCACACATAATTTCATTTTATCCTGATGACAAACCTGTAAGTTAGATAGTGTTATTCTTATTTTACGGCTTAACTAGTGCCATTTCGGGAAGATTAAGTAGCTTGTACAAGATCAGAGATCTATGACGGGGCAGAATGTGAACCCAAGAGGCTGGGTTCAGACCAGAGGCTGCTGCTCTGCCATTCTATTTGACTGTAAGCTCCAGCGCTGTAAAACCGCTTTCTTGCTGAGTGGACTTTGTACCCGTCCACTTCTGTGTTTTGCTTACAGTTTCCTCTGATTGAAATGCCTTTCTTTTGGTAATTTAAGCTGTCAGATAAGATGCTACTATGCTACTACCATCAAAAACACTGGCCGAAACTTTTTTCTCTCCATCTGGGAATAGTTTTTCTTCCTTTGAACTTTTGTAATGTTTTATTTAAGCCATCATTATGACTTTCACAAATCTTACTAATTATTTTTTTAATTCATCTGATCTCTTCTGCTACACTAGAATATAAGCCGTTTGAGGTCAAGGACTATGTCTTACCCATATTTAAGCCCCCATTAGCCCATAGTAGTTGAGTATAGGCTTTGAAGGCACATAACATTTCTTTGGTAACCCTGTTTCTTGGAATATAAAATGGAGATGAGAACAGTCTGTTTTTCATAGGAGTGTTGTAGAAATCAAGGAGGATGGTGCTCATAAGCACTTAACACAAATATATGTGTGTTGTTCACATTGCCACTGCATCAGTCTATTATGCATTGGTATAAATCTGAGACTGAGTAATTTACAAGGAAAAGAGGTTTATTTGGCTTATGGTTCCGCATGCCGTACAAGAAATTCCTCTCCCCTGACCCATTGCATCCAGTAGATCCTCTCTGTGCACCACTCTTTCTCCTCAGGAGTAGCATGCATTTTCAGCCCCATACAAGAAATTCCTCTCCCCTGACCCATTGCATCCAGTAGATCCTCTCTGTGTACCACTCTTTCTCCTCAGGAGTAGCATGCATTTTCAGCCTACATGTTCCCTCTTTGGAGAGGGCTTGCTGGCTGGCCGTTTAGGTATCCCTTCCCCTTTTCTTCCTGTTGCTTTCTTCCTCATAGGATGGCCATTCTTTGTCATTATTTGTTTGTATATTTATTTGTTGATTACTGTTGATTATTATTTTAGTATTTATTTTTTCTCACCTTCCAAGTCAGGCTTCTCAAGGATCAAGTTGATATGTGTGCCAGTGATGAGTTCAGTGCTAGGTCAGAGGGGACTGTAAAGATTTGTTGAAAGGCTGGGAATTATTGGATTGCTTCAAATAAATTTCACACCAGCTGTATAAATTTGACATCTGACAGGGATTGCATGATTTGAAAATCTGTTTTCTGAAAATACTTTAAAATCTGAAAGGAGATGTATATATGGTTTCTATCTTTTTGTCCATTAGCTCCTCACAATTTATTTTTTTGCTGAGTGTAAGTAGTTTGAAGGTGAAGATATGGAACACTGATATCAGCTCTAGACTTCTTTCAGATTTTCCCTACAGCTAGGAAGATAATAAGGATCCTCTCAGAAGGATAGCTATGTTAACAAAACTAGAATTAAATCAATTTTAGGTTTTTTAACAATGCAGACAATATCCCATACAATTGGTAAATTATTAGTGTGGTGTTTTTTTTTTTTTGAACTGTTGTATAACTTGGTTTATATGTAAACATACCCCTTCTCTAGATTTTGATCTATTGGATGATTTTGATAATAACAATCTTTAATATTCATGGAGCGTTTTTAGTACATATAGATGATATAAATGGAAAGTATTGCATGTTTCTGATGTAGTTTATGGATTTCTTGTTGTAGACATTATGTAGGTAAATGTAAATGAGAAAACAAATGTGGCCGGGCGCGGTGGCTCAAGCCTGTAATCCCAGCACTTTGGGAGGCCGAGACGGGCGGATCACGAGGTCAGGAGATCGAGACCATCCTGGCGAACATGGTGAAACCCCGTCTCTACTAAAAAAAAAAATACAAAAAAAAAGCCGGGCGAGGTGGCGGGCGCCTGTAGTCCTAGCTACTCGGGAGGCTGAGGCAGGAGAATGGCGTGAACCCGGGAGGCGGAGCTTGCAGTGAGCTGAGATCCGGCCACTGCACTCCAGCCCGGGCGACAGAGCGAGACTCCGTCTCAAAAAAAAAAAAATAAAAAATAAAAAAATAAACAAATGTTGGACTGGGTGTCTGTTCCTTCTATCTCTAAAATATTGGCTTGGGCGTGTATTTACTGTAGTTATTTACCATAATTAGTTTTTTGACTGTTTAAAATTGATACATGTAGGCCGGGCATGGTGGCTTATGCCTATAATCCCAGCACTTTGGGAGGCTGAGGCAAGCAGATAGCCTGAGGTCAGGAGTTCAAGACCAGCCTGGTCAGCACGGTGAAACCTGTCTCTACTAAAAATACAAAAATTAGCTGAGCATGGTGGTGTGCCCCTGTAGTCCCACCCACTAAGGAGGGTGAGGTGGGAGGATTGCTTGAACCCGGGAGGCGGAGGTTGCAGTGAGCTGAGATTATCATGCCACTGCACTCCAGCCTGGGCAACAGAGTGAGACTCTGTCTCAAACAAACAAATAAACAATAAATACATAAATAATAAATTCATACATGTAACCCGCATCTCAGAATGTCACTAAAAAACCCTAAAATTCATACATTTGTTGGCCATTGAGAAGAGTTCCTTAGTTTAATCCCTTAAACTTTAAAAATATCCAATTTAAATATATATAGGGTTTGTGATAACTTTTGATGTATTTGGTTATATACTAAAGTATTTATATTTAATTTGTAAATAAAATAGTTGGAGCTTTTTTATTTTGGGTTCTTAGAAATTTGAATGAATACATTATCTAAAATAAATAGACCAAATAGCCTAAATGGTCTCATAAGCATTAGTTTTGTAACGTTGCATTGTTGAATAGTTTTATCTTTAAATTTAGATTCTTGAAGACCTGGATGAACAGATTTATATCATTACCTTAGAGGAAGAAGCACTCCAGAGACGACTAAATGGTATGTATATATTACATATTTAGACTGGGATAAAAAAAAACTCTTTAATTTCAAAAAGATAGATAATTGAAGGGAAAAAATATAAACCTCTCTGTATCTTGTGCTGCTACAAGAGGAGGACACTTTAGAGTAACAAAATAACTTTCCTGGTGAAGAGAGGTTTATTGCAGACCCTGGCTGAGATGAGCTGTAACCTAGCAAGACACATTCTTTGTGAGACTTTGGCCACTGAGGGACTAGGCACCTCTCTACTGCCAACTGTATTTATGTTTTAAGCATATGACTTTAAAGTTTAATTTTTAATTACTGATCATTTTTGAGGAACCAATGAAGAAAAGAGTAATGATATAGTTTAACAGATAGTATAGGTACATTTTCTTTAATTTTACTTAAGTAATTTTCAAATGTTGAAAAACCAGTCTCCCGCCAACAAGATTAGATAATTAATAGCTAACTGCATTTCAGAAACATGATTCAAGAGTAGGTATAAAATAGAAGGTTAGTTTATGAAATACTGAGAAATAGGTAGATACCTACTTTCTTCAGTTATAAATAGTGAATTTAAATCATCACCCCAAAAGTGTTCATAATATTTTAGAGCTTTTTTCTTAGATCCAAGAATTTCAGTTTGTATCTGTTCTAGAGGGTTCTTGTCAGTAACATTCTATAATTTGATACAGATAAACTTTTAGACTGGAACTACATATGTTTTTTATTCTTCTAACTTAATTAAAACTACTTTAATATTTAAACCTGTTTAATTTCAGAGATACAAACTTTAGTCAACAATGTCAGCTTTATAAAGTTTCCTTAAAGCAGTGAATATTATAATAAATGTATCCTATTTGGATAACCATGCTGCTGTGCAGTGAGCCTGCCTGCGTGGTGAAGAATATGTCTCAAGCTGCTGCCTGCCTGCCCTCCTGTGGGATGGTTTCAGCCTCAGACAGCCGCCGCTTCTATTTCACAGATGAGGAGGCTGACACCCAGGAAGAGTAAAATGTAGCCCCCCGTGAACTGAAGAACTTGGATTGACTTCAGTCAAAACAAAACAAAATCCAAAAATACAGCCTTTCTCACTTTCCCTTTCCACAGCAGGAAAAATAAAAAGGGCCTTTCTAGAATCTTTATAAATCCTCTGGCTCCTCCAATTTAAAAGTGGCTGACCATATGTAAAGAAGTTGAAAAGGAAACTCTTGCTAGATGGCTAAATGTCTCATAAAATGAAGCCAAGCCGAAATCAGTAAAAAACACCTCGCTGGCGTAGAAATGTTACAGAGAAGAGACGGATGGACCTGGGAAGGATGGAGGATGGGGGGATAACTAATACTAAATTAATTGTTTTACACACCATTTTGGTAGGCCATGCGCTATTTATGATCCATTTGGTAGATTGTCTGAAATCTTTTCAGTGAAACTCTTAAGTGATATGTTAGGATAATTATAATTTTGCTGTTTGCTGCTGGTTAGCCACTGTGGACTATTTCAGGTGGAAAATAAAGAGCTAAATGATTTATGTTTATAACATAAATGGTTCTGTGGCAAAATGGACATTTTGACGAATACAGATTAAGAATCGTCAGCTTCAGTAGAGTATGCTTAGAAATATGTGTAGGAAAGCAAGACTGAAAAAATCACGACTCACCATTTCTTAAGAAAATAGAAATAGGAGGTTAGTAAGAGAAACTATTCCCCTGGATTTTATTTAATCTAGTATTATGACTATTGTGTTTTGTTATAACAGTTACTCTCTGTTTTAAATTATAAAACAAAAGTAAAGTGTTTATTGTTTTACTTTTGCTAGTAAAAAGAATTCCAGAATAATGAGAGTAAAATACTTTTTAAAAAATACAAATTCCTTTGCTGATTTATCATAGAGTTCCTGGCGGTGCTTTCTTAGTGTGTGTTGGAATACGTAGTGTGCGTTGCAGGAATCTTTGGGGTGTCAGCGTGGCTTACTCTGAGCTCCGTTGTACAGTTAGGCGAAAAAACGTGACAGCCAGCACCAAGAAGTGCTTCACTGTAGAAATAACACTACTTTTTTTTTTAAGTAACATGAGTTATTGTGTTAGTTATGATATTGCTGGAGTTGAATTTTCATGCCTGGTTTTAAAAGTAATCAGTATAGCTTTGTGTTGGAATGCCTGACTGTGGCTTCTCAATTGTTTATTTGACACTTGATGGTGCTATAGGTATAAAGTTATTGGGAGGTTTTGTTCTTGTTAATATCGTTATTGTTTCATGGAATGTTAGTAAAGTAAAGCAAAGCTGTGTGCTGTGATAATGTTAATTGGTATCCTGAGTAAGCCATCCTGTTATCAGCCACTCTCTACCCTTTCTCCTTTCCCTGTTTGCTTATTGCACATCTTAATTAAGCACTAAATATTGTGCAGATGAATTTAAGATGCTGAGTCTCAAGATCATAGGCTAGGTGACTGAAGAAGAGGAGGAAAAAGGACAAGAATTTATAGATTTTTATCTAGTGCTTAACTACTTGAAAAAAGGAATAGAGAGGAAGGAGTTCTGTGTTTCTGAGACAGGAGGGAGCCCCAGAGCACTTGTCGTTTGGCTAAGACAGCACCTCCCTCATGTCCCTGTTGTCATGGCAGGAGTAGAGAGATGCCCACACAACTCACTGTGATCTGGGCAGGCGGCCTTCCCCTTCCCGCAGCACACAGCCTCCCCTCTGCCTTCTGCTTTGGGACTGTCAGGACTAATGGGTACATTTTGTCTGTCACTCCTGTTTATCATGGTGAGCACATGGAACCCAGAACATCCAGGTTCCTTGCACCCTGGACTCTGCCCCCTGTCTCTATACGTCCCATTTCTGACCTGATTTTCCACTTTCCTCTAGCTTCTGAAACTTTCTGCTTGTGCCATTTGGAACTGAGAGTTAACTCATGAACAAAACCCCTGTATCTTCAACTGCCACTTTCTCGCTCAGAGAAACTTGGCACGCATTCCTGCCACCTGCTTATGTGATGGCTCGCTTCTACCCACATCCCTCATTTGGCTGGTCCTGGAGTTTGAGGAGGTGCCCTCCTGTTCCCTTTTACTACTCTCCAGCACTTTGGATCTCATGTCATCAGACCGTGACCTAGTCCTGCCATTCGCTCACCTCCCAGGCCTTTTCTGCTCCCTGCTGGAGGAGTTTTGCTCCTCATTTCTAATCCTTCTCTGATTCTGTGCCTTTTTCGTGGTGATTTTGTGTCTGTGCATGTGTCCTTCCCATCACCCCGGGACACTCCTTCCCTGTCCCTGTGGTTGTCTGCCTCACCCGCTCATGCCTGTGACATAACCCACTCAAGTTCTTTTGCATAATCTTACAATGAAGCATCCTACTTTCCACCTACCACTTCTTTTTCCAGTTCACTTCTTCTAGCACTCCCATTTCCTACAATTCTTCAGTGTGGAGATTTAACATGCCCTGATCCTAACACCTTTTTCTCACCTCCCCTCCATCATTCCCCCATCCCCCTACTTCCTTGCATAGTTTACATTCCTGGGCTGTTGTTAGAATTAGTTCCCTGCATACACTCTTAGCGCCCTTTCAGGGTCTTGCGGATTGTACTGGAACCGGTGAAACCCGAGCCTTCATTCTGCTCTCCTCTCCCTGTTCTGTGCTCTCACTCCTGGCTGGCTGACTGACCCTCCTGCCTGGCCTTCCTTTATATATGTGACCAGTATCCTAAATTAACTTTACATTCTCCTAGATGACTTTATTCTGTCTTTTCTTCCCTCAGATCTTCACCATCCTTAATCTCCACTGGTGACCTTGTTTTCTATTTTCTTAAGAAAATAGAAGCAGTCATAAGAGAATTTTCACAAGCTTTTTCCTTCATGCCAACCCACCTCCCTGCAGCTCCCCTCACACCTGCTGCCTTTTCCCTCCATGCTGTGGCTGAATTGCCTGTGTGCTTGGCTAATGCCAGCGCTCCCCTGGTGCCCTGGATTCCATCTTTTCTTGCCGATTCAAGGACATGATCTAGCAGTTGTACTCTTTCTGTCTGTCTCTCTGTCATGATCCAGTTTTTCCCCAACCTGGATCCTTTCCATCGGCATAAAGATATGCTATAATTTTCCCAGAAAGAGACAGAGGAAGGAATCTGCCTTGACCCCATATTTCCTCCAGCTCACCACCCATTCCTTTGGTTTTCATGGCAAAGCTCACAAGAGTTGTGTGCTCATGGGTTTCACATTTTGTTTTGAAACTCACTCTTGCTTCTACTGTTCCATGAAATGCCATGGTCAAGTTGGTCTGTGACTTCATAGTGCTAATCTTACTCTCTTTCCTCCTCGAAATATCTTTTATTCCACTTAGTTTTCAGTTCACCATACTTTCCTGTTCCTTTTATTTAATGGGCTACTTTTTTCTCAATCTACTTTTCTAGCTTTTCTGTGTCTATAACTTCCTCACCTGGAAAGTCTTATGCCTCCATCCTTCAAATTCTCTATTTGCTTTTACTCCCTTGTTGTTTCATCTGGTCTCATGGCTTTAAATACCCCCTATAAGCTGTGACCTCTACTCTGAGCTTTGAACTTCAAGATCTAACTGTCTAGTGGACATTTCTGTTTGGATGTCCAATAGGCATCTTAAACATATGTCCAAAGTAAACTCAAGATCTTACTCCCAGATTTTGCTTCTTTTGCCATCAACCCTTCTCTTTCTTCCAGGTACTCAGGCCAAATCCTTGGAGTCTCTTTCTCTTAATTCCCATATGGATTCCATCTGCAAAGCTGTTGGCTCCAGCTTCATAACAGCTCCAGAATCTGACCATGCCTCACCACCTGTGCTGCCACCACCCTGGTTTGGCAGCAGTCACCCCTTGGAGAGGTTTCTGTGGTAGCTTCCTAATGGCTTCCATGCATATCTGTCCTGGGCCTAGTGAGTCAGAGAGAGTCTCTGACCATGTGAGTCAGATCTTCCCACATATTTGCTCCAGGTCCTCAGATGATGGTTTCTGTTTCAGTCTGGATAACAGCAAGAGTCCTTGCAGTGG